GAATCAGGCTTCCCCTTTGATTTGGCTTGTCGGATCACCTGGGACCGTCATAAAGGTGAGTCAGCTGCCAAGCAGTTGAATTTCAATCAGGTGACCCTCTTCAACGGTCATAAGTCCGAAACATAAACATAACTTTTTTCAGTACTGTTATAACTAAACAAACGGTTGCAAGTCAAGAACTAGCGGTACTTTGGACTACAAAATCCAGCATTCCCTCCCAAGCAGAAACGCTCCTGCTAAAATGGCAACGGGGACCTTAGGGCCACGGGGAAGGGGGGGCACTCGGGGACAGCAGCTGACGGCTGAAGGCTGGCTGGGGAATTCTTGGAATTGAAGTCCACGCTTCTTTAGCTATGGTTGAAAAACCATGTGTCAACGCTGCTAACATCGGATGTTCTTGCTTTGACAACATATGGAGATGCAGCCATTTTCCATCTTATGTTTTACTCTCAGAATTAGAGGATACTGGGGGTGGGAGGATGAATGTGCATGAGGGTTTAGCTAGACATAACAATATGGACCTAACCTGAGAATCAAGGTTATTGAAATAAGAGATGATAAGAATTGGGCCGGGCTGGAGAACTGGAGGGAAAACCTGCATTTCAAACTAATTGGAGAATGTGATTTATGACTGTTTAATTAGAGGAGGGAATGGTGCTTTGATACTATGTGCTCAGGGGAGGGGAATTCAGTTTTTGGCTTTGCCTATGTACATGCCGATGTTATGCTTCTCGAATAAAGATTCTTTAAGGTAAACAAGGCCTCAAAGTTCTTTGAAGAGTTTCATCTGTCGGAACCAGGACACCGTGGCTCAGATATTATAGCTACAGGGAAGATGGTTCTTAGAGGGAAATCCCAATTCCAACATGTTAAACGATATTGCAAACATCTGGAATTTATCTGTCTAGGAAGAACCGTGAAAAATATCACCCAGGACTGCCGCAAAAAAAAGGTGATAATGCATCTGTGAGAAAAATGAACAAAATGTGTCAGCTTTCGAGCTTTACCGTAATAGAATCACTGGATCGGATGTTGTTCCATAAAGCTTTGATTGAATTCAGGACTTAAGATTTGAATTGTAGTGACTTTCAGACACAGCTTCAGATATTAAACATTTCTGACAGAGGAATATTGTGAAATCCCGGGATATTCGGTTCCTCGTTTGTTTTGTTCCTTTCTGCTAGTTTTTAAAATTGATCCATTTAATCTCTTGTTTCCCCCGCCCCTTTTCCTTATTTTTGCTTTTACTTCTCCTTTGATGCTGTGTTATGTTTCCTATAATATGGTTTGTATAAGTTTGTTATTACCGACAATAATGCCTTTATAACTAGGTAGAAATCTAATTTAAGAGGGTAAGACTCAACCCAGATGGCAGGAAAAAAAAAAAAAAAACCAATATACACAAGACTGGAGAAATTTTTTTTGCAGAGTTGAGACTGAACAATCTCCAAGAGAAAAAAATAAAATGCTTTCTGTTTGCCAGGAATCCTGGAACTGCTTCAAATATGCTTCTCTTCTCTGCAAAATTTAGCAATCCGAATGCTGAGTTTAAGATGGAGAGCAGTAGCGCTAGCCCTTAGACTTATATACCGCTTCACAGTGCTTTTACAGCCCCTCTCTAAGCGTTTTACAGAGTCAGCCTATTGCCCCCCAACAATCTGGGTCCTCATTTTGCCGACCTCGGAAGGATGGAAGGCTGAGTCAACCTTCAGCCGTTTGGGATCAAACTGCTGGCAGTGGGCAGAGTTAGCCTGCAACAGACTCTAATGTTGGCTGACAGATTTAGAATATTCGAAAAACAAATAAATATGACACAGAGGGATATGATAGAGCTGATAGCTCCAAAGGTGTTTTTTCAAGAGGCAACTGGACTTCCGTTGTTTTTCCTTGACGACGTTTCGTTTCTCATCCAAAAAGCTTCTTCAGCCCTGACTGAATGGTGGAGAGTGGAGGAATCCAGTTGACTTTTGAAAAAGCATCTTTGGGTCAACCATGACCTGGATGATTCCATAGACTGTAGAGCAGGGTTCTTCCAACTTGGCCTTTTTATGACTTGTGGAGTTCAACTCCCAGAATTTCTCAGCCAGGCACGTCTGGCTGAGGAATTCTGGGAGTTGAAGTCCACAAGTCATCAAAGGGCCAAGTTGGAAGACCCCTGTCTTAAATCTAACCAACAAAATGGAGGCTGGCTGAGGAATTCTGAGAGTTGAAGTCCACAAGTCATCAAAGGGCCAAGTTGGAAGACCCCTGTCTTAAATCTAACCAACAAAATGGAGGCTGGCTGAGGAATTCTGAGAGTTGAAGTCCACAAGTCATCAAAGGGCCAAGTTGGAAGACCCCTGTCTTAAATCTAACCAACAAAATGGAGGCTGGCTGAGGAATTCTGGGAGTTGAAGTCCACAAGTCATCAAAGAGCCAAGTTTGAAGACCCGTCTTAAATCTAACAAACAAAATAGAAGCTGGCTGAGGAATTCTGGGAGTTGAAGTCCACAAGTCATCAAAGGGCCAAGTTGGAAGACCCCTGCTGCAGAGTCTTGGCACAAGAATGGGGTTTGCATGGCCTGTCAATGTTAAGAGTGCAGTTTGATGGACATCACTGCTCTTTAGTGGCAAAACCTCAACTCCCACAATTCCCCAGCTCATATGCTTCAGTTAGACAGATCTTCCATCATTCTAGAACAGGGTTTCCCAAACTCAGCAACTTTTAAGACGGATGGACTTTAACTCCCAGAATTCCCCAGCCAGGACCGAAAGCCACCCATTTTAAAGTCTCCAGGCTACACTGCTCTGTAACTTAGAAATTATGTTCAATGTCAGCAATCTCTTTTTTTTAAAACCTGGTCAACTTTCACAAGGAGATCGATGCTTAATTGATAAGTAAGCCTGTCATTAATCTCAGGTTTAAAACCTGGGTGGCAGAACGGGGAGCTTGTGTATTCCGCAAACTGAGTCCGTACAGTTAACTAAAAACTCGACGCTTTGTGTGCGCGCACTGTTCAATCACCGGGTTAAACCCAGCGGGAGACGTGATCAGCTGCCAATAAAAAGAAAAACTCCTTCTTGCCTGTTTTATATGATTGAGCTGCCTCTGCTTCCCTCTAACCTGCCATCATAGCAAATGATGGGAAAATCACAACGGGCTCAGCCTGTTGTTGATCCAAGGACATGTTGCACTTCAAAAGGCGGCTGATCTTTCCAAATCTTTCATTAAGGGGGGGGGGGCAAACTTAGAAAGGGGAGCCTGTCACCTGTAAATATCTTTTCTTTCCCACCTGTAAACAACCATCTCTGGGCAACAAAAGCCCAGCATTGTCTGAATTCAATCTGCACAAGACCCAGGTTTGCGCTGGAAGATTGATTCTTCTGTCCTGCAAAGGGGCACACGACTTGAAGGGCAGAGGTTAAGGTTGGGGTGTGGATGCCCTTAAACCCCATTCGGGGCAAATCTACCCTCGACTTTGGCAGACGCTTCGAGATTTTCACCGCACAAGCCGCAAGGGAAAGGGGTTTGCAAAACAAAACAAAAAAAATTCTTTCTACGCAAAGCTCTCCCAGCAGCATTTTAAAAAGAGCTGTGCCTCTGGGTTATGACGCTGGTGAGTTTGGACGGTGTAACCTACCTGTACGAAAGTCAGGGCTACTAAGAGTTAGATATACAGTTTCGGATTTCCCACCCTTGGGATTATCAAATTCAGCATCCTGACAATCTGTCACACAACGAGGCCGCCAGTGGGCAGTTGGACAATATCTGGAGGATTTCAAATTGGGAGAATCTGCTTAGGAACAAAGGCATTATCGTCCGGACTCTGATGCATCAGAGGCTGGAGTTAGCACAAATATTCTTGATTTGTTTTCATTTGATGCCCCTGTGGGTAGCGCCGTGGATGAGGCGGGGATGAATACCACTGAGAGCCGTTTGCGACGGTGAAGCGGTCCACGAGCCCGGGAAAATTAATTAAATAACGCACTACGATCCTGGGGCTTTGGATGTAGTTCTCTACGGAGACGGAGCTGTCTAGGAACCAAGGGACCCCCGGTTTTTGCATCTGAGGATCATCAATGTTGAGAAAATTGAACTCCTGACACAGTTTTCCCAAGAGACAGACGAAAAACAAAGAGATTTGGGATTCTGGCCACTTTGGTCTGGCTTCAAAACATCTGCTGTTTTGGTGTTGTTGTTTTTTTTGCCCAGTTGTAATGACAAATGCATAGACGGTTGCTAAAAATCACAATGACATGATGACACATGTGATATTGTGTCTCTCCCCCTGTGGACATATATGTGGGAAGGGGTGTGTTTTTTTTACCCATGTTGGGAGAAAAGGCCGTTTCTAACTGCTGGGAAGAGAATAACCTCAGCTTTTTAAACCGATCACCTGTCGAAAAGTCACGAGTTGGTTTTTCGATGGAAAGAAAGCAGTTCAGAGTGCATTAAAAAAAAATCAACCCTAAAGGAACAAAGAGCTGTATAAATACAAGAGGATCTGCATTCACGGCTGCTTCTGTACGTTCCCAACACACGGAGGAGCCGTAGATGAAAGACGTGTCAGGAAAATAGGAATATTATGCACACGACCATCAGGTGCACTTCATGGAACAGCCACTAGAGGTCGACATAGTTCTCAAGGGATCCAAAGGGCTAGAACCAGTGTTTCTCAACCTCAGCAATTTTAAGATGTCTGGACTACAACTCCCAGAATTCCCCAGCCAGCATGGCTGGCTGGGGAATTCTGGGAGTTGAAGTCCAGACATCTTAAAATTGAGAAAGACCCTGCTAGTCCTTTCAGACTGAGGTTTGGTTGCGTTCAAAGATGGCTTTGGGGATCCCCTTGCAATGGGGATGGGGGATCCCCAATACATCCAAGAGACCTATGGACTCACTTGATCCCCCAGAATTTTGGGTCCTCCCTTCTGCCCCCCTCTTTTTTCTCCTGATCCACCCACCCACGGCGGCGGTCAGATCCCACGGTGCACAGTCCCGACCCGCAGCATCAACTTACCCGGATGACATAGCGAGACGAATTCTTGCTGTCCAGGTTGACCGTCAAGGCGAAGAAGACCGTGGTGCTGTAGACTCCCTGCGTCTTGTACAGCAGCTCGTCGAAGTCCCACTGGCCTTGCCTATCCAGGGCCCCCATATCCCATCCTCCACAGTCCTCAATGACCTCCAGCATCGGCCAGGCCCCCAGCCGGTCAATCTCCCTCATGTCCAGGCAGGAACGGAAAAAATCCTTGACTTTTCGCTCGGCCGAAGCCCGGTAGGGACGCCGCACGGGCTGCTGAAGCAGCCGTTGCAACTTCTCCTCGTTCTGCTCGCCGATGGCGGCAATGGTGCCGTAGATCAGCTTGTCCTCCGGAATGCCGTGCCGGCGCAGCCATCCGCCACAGGCAAAGGAGTAGAAGTCCTTGCAGGGGTCAAGGGTGGGGTCAATGTTGGTGGCGATGAACCGAGAAGCCTTGGTGAAGGCCCGGCGTTCTTGGCAGCCTTCCAAGCAGTAGGCCGCCTGATCCAAAGCCAGATACTTGAGGACCAGGATGCAACCCAAGATGGCACACAGGCCCGCCGCAAAGACCAAGCCGGAGAGCAGGCAGATCTCTCGTCGGCTCCAGCGCGGCAGGCCGCAACGCGTTTTTTTGGTCCCGGCGGTGCCCAGCTGCAAGTTGAACCCGTTGGGCAGAGCTGTACTGCTGCTGTACTTGCTGACGTATTTGACTTCCTGGAACTCGTCGTAGTGGGCGGTCAGCGAGTAAGTCTTCTCCATGCTGGCCGCAGAGTAGGATTCGAACCCGGAGTCATTGGGCAGCCATTCTCCAGCAGCGTCCAGCAGGGGGCGCCCACGCCGAGCGCCCAAGCTGCAGCTTCTCCACCAGATCCCCAAGGATTCCCCCACTAAAGAGGATCCCGGGGACCAACCACTCTTTCAAAGTCCGAGGCGAGGGACCCGCTCTGAAAAAGAAATTATTTTGTTGAGCTGCAGGAAGAATATATTTTTATTGTTATTTTTTCTTAAGCGGCTTCAGACGCGCAACTGAATCCACCCACCCCCACCCCGGCAAGGGAAACCCGGAAGGGAATCTGTTCCATTGGTCATTTTTCGCTGGATCTTGTCCCTTGCAGGGGTTTTTCCCCGTCTCTCCTTTGTTCTCTCTATTTTAAAAGGAAAAAAACGGGGGGGGGAGGACACTAAGAGACAAGCCACTGCCTGGATCTGCAGCGTCGGGCAGCGAGGCTCTCAGATCACCCGAAACCAGCTTCCCGCCGCCCAAACGACACGCATCTCTTTGCAGGATCCGATCCGGAATTGAAAGTCAAGCTTTAAGGTGTTTGCCTTTCTCTCTTTCCCCCAGCAACAGGGCAGACTGGATCGCCTTGACTTCTGCTGGGATCCCTTTTGAAATCCCCCGATTTCACTGTTAACTATCCTGGGATCTCCGAGTGGCCTCCAGTCCAGTAATTAACCAAGCCGCTCCGGCTTCCTTTCCCAGGCTAGACTAAGGGAATCCGGATGGGAAAATCTATTCGCTGCTGATACTGGATCTCGGGGGGGGGAAGGGGGGGTCCTCCTTAAATGAGTCCGCTTCGTATAATCCGGAGAGGAGCCGGGTTCCCCAACCACCTGGAAAGCGGGGCAAAGGGATCCGGAAAGCGAGGCGAGGGAGGAGACCCGGTGAATCCCCCTCGCCTTCTCTGGGATCGGCTACGAGGCGGGGGGGGGGGCGGCGGCAGGCAGGCGGGAAGCGTTAGCTGACCCTGGAACGTGTGGAAGACCTCGAGGAGACCCTCCGCACCCCAGCCTCTCACTTGGCCGTCCCAAGAGTTTTTCCAAGAAGCGGAGCCTGGCCCGCAGCCCACGGGGGAGCCCCCCACGCCCGGGACCGGCTGTTCCTACTCCCTGCCGCGCCCAGCCTGAGCTAGCGAGCCTGGCCGGCCACGCAAGTGGAGCGCGGTGCACGGAGGCCACCCCGAAAAAGGCCGGGCTGTCCGAGTCAACGGGCCGGACGAAGGGAGCGCAGCCTCGAGAACTTTTCCAGGGTCGGACGGCGGACACCCACCGGCACCCCTCCTCCTCTTCCTCTTCTCCTCTTCCTCCTCCTCCCCCTCCTTTTTCTCCTCCTCCTGCCCCTTTTCCTCCTCTTCCTCTCCTCTTCCTCCTCCTCTTCCTCTTCCTCCTCCCCCCTTTTCCTCCTCCTGCCCCTCTTCCTCCTCTTCCTCTTCTCCTCTTCCTCTTCCTCCTCCTCTTTCTTCTTCTCCTCCTCCTCCTCCCCCTCCTCTTCCTCCTCCTCCTCTTCCTCTTCCTCCTCCCCCCTTTTCCTACTCCTCCTGCCCCTCCTCCTCCTCCTCTTCCTCTTCCTCCTCCCCTCTTTTCCTCCTCCTCCTGCCCCTCTTCCTCCTCTTCCTCTCCTCTTCCTCCTCCTCTTCCTCTTCCTCCTCCCCCCTTTTCCTCCTCCTGCCCCTCTTCCTCCTCTTCCTCTTCTCCTCTTCCTCCTCTTCCTCCTCCTCTTCCTCTTCCTCCTCCCCCTTTTCCTCCTCCTGCCCCTCTTCCTCCTCTTCCTCTTCTCCTCTTCCTCTTCCTCCTCCCCTCCTCCTCTTTCTTCTTCCTCTCCTCCTCCTCCTCCTCTTCCCCCTCCTCCTCTTCCTCTTCCTCCTCCTCCTCCCCCCTTTTCCTCCTCCTCCTGCCCCTCTTCCTCCTCTTCCTCTTCCTCTTTTCCTCTTCCTCCTCCTCCTCCTCCTCCTCCTCTTCCTCTTCCTTCCCCCCTCCCCGCGCAGCCTGCAAGGACCCTCAGGGCGAGAGGGAACCACTTCGCGGGGGGGGGGAGCGACCAGGATCTCCCCCTCTCCCTCTCGCCCCTCCCCCCGGCTACGTCGCCCCTTCCCCGCGCCCAGCCAATTGGCGCCGCGCCCGCGGGGCAACCCGCGAGACAGCCCCCCCTCCCCACCCAAGCCCCCCTCTCTTTCTTTCCACCTGCTGCTTCCCCGTCTCCCCGTCCCCCGCGACCACCCGCACCGCCGGCGGAGAGAAGCACGCGAGGAAAGTTGGCGAGGAGGTGTGCAGCCACGCCCCCCCACCCGCGGTGATTCCCCCCCCGCACACACACACACACACACACACACACACACCGAAGCCGGTCGGGCGGGGGAGGAATGCCGTGAACCCACCCCCCGCGACCCCCTTTCCCCCCTCTCGCCGCCGCCACGGACTTGCCGCTAACTCGCGAGGAGAGGACCGGGCCGGCGGGCTGGCATCGCTTCGGGAGGCGGCGGCGAGTGGCGCCGGAGGCAGCGAGGCGAGGTCTGCCGTGCGCTCCCTCCGCCTCCCCTTCCCTCCCCACGACCCGCCCACCGCCTCTTCCCAGCCGCGGCGGCTCCCGCTCTCCCGAGTACCTGTCAGATCGTGTGGACGCCGGGATCCCAGCTGGGTGGCGGGGGGGGGAGGAGGAGCAGGAGGGGGAGGAGGAGGAAGAGAAAGAAGAGGGGGAGGTAGAAGAGACGGAGGAGAAGAAGAAAAGGAGGAGGAGGAGGAGGAGGAAGAAGAAGAGGTAGAGAAGGAGGAAGAATAGGAGGAAGAGGAGGAGAAGGAAGAGAAGAAGAAGAAGAGGAGGAGGAAGAAAGAGGAGGAGGAGGAAGAAGAAGAAGAGGTAGAGAAGGAGGAAGAAGAGGAGGAAGAGGAGGAGAAGGAAGAGAAGAAGAGGAGGAGGAGGAGGAAGAAGAAGAGAAAGAGGAGGAGGAAGAAGAAGAGGTAGAGAAGGAGGAAGAGGAGGAGAAGGAAGAGAAGAAGAAGGAGGAAGAAGAGAAAGAGGAGGAGGAGGAGGAAGAAGAAGAGGTAGAGAAGGAGGAAGAAGAGGAGGAGGAAGAGAAGAGGAGGAGAAGGAAGAAGAGAAAGAGGAGGAGGAGGAAGAGGAGGAAGAAGCAGAGGTAAAGAAGGAGGAGGAGGAGGAAGAGGAGGAGGAAGAAGAGAAGGAGGAAAAGGAAGAGAAGGAGGAGAGGGAAGGAAGGGGCTTCTTCAGCCGGTCCACGCCACCTCTCCCCGCGCGAGGTTCGGGATGCTCGTGTGAACGGTTCGGCGCGGCTCCGTTCCCGAGGCTTAGCTCATTTCTCGGCGGGAGGGAAGGGGCCGGCGGCAGGCGGGGAAGGCGCGACCCCCGGCAGCTGGGAGGAGACTCCGAGGGGAGGGGAGGGGCGCCAGGGAGTGGGGCAACCCGCTCGTCTGAACGGGGCAGCGCTGGGGACGAAGGAACAGCGGGTTTCCCCCCGACCCGCCTGGCCAAACACGCCGCCGCCGCCGCCGCTTGCGGGGATCCCGAGGCTGCGCGAAGCCGACAAACTGGCTCCGCCGGTGGAGCGAAAGGGTGACATTAGACGCCGGGTTAAGCGTGTTGTGTGAACGCGGCCGTTAGAGCGGAGCCCGCTTAGAAGAGCAGCGAGGCGTCTACTGGGGTTCCCAGACCTCTCACCCCGCTGGCTTCACCGGAGGAACCCTTGTCCCATAACGCTGGGCAAGCCACGATCATCTTAGTGACGGGCACCAGGCTGTGAGGATCCTTCAGCTTCGGACACGCAGCTGTTGTAGTCTTTCGGGATGGGATGGGGGCGGGGGCAGACGCTGGTCTCTGTATGTGATGATAGGCTTTGCTTCTGCTTCAGACTGGGCTGGACTAAATGACCTCTGGGTTCCTGACTAATGCCCACACTGGTGGTTTGGAACTAAAGCCCTAGTGAGGCCACACCTGGAATACTGCCCCCAATTTTGGACACCATATCACAAAAAAGATGTTGAGCGTTTGGAAAAAGTTCAGAGAAGAGCCACTAAGACGATCCAAGGCCTGGAGACCAAAACGTACAAAGAACGGCTGCGGGACTTGGATTTGGCTGGTCTAAAGAAAATAAGAAATAGGGGAGACATGATAGCAGTGTTTCAGTATCTGGGGGGCTGCTCCAAAGAAGAGGGGGTCAGGTTATTCTCCAAGGCACCAGAGGGCAGGACAAGAAACAGTGGTTGGAAGCTGATCAGAGAGAAACAGCAACCTGGATTTAAGAAGAAACTTCCTGAAAGTGAGGACAATCAACCAGTGGAACAGCTTGCCACCAGAAATCATGGGCACTCCATCACTGGAGGTTTTTAAGAAGAGACTGGACAGTCACCTGTCTGACATGGTATAGGTTCTCCTGCTTAAGTGGGAGGGGAGAAGGGGGGCTGGACTAGAAGACCTCCAATGTCCCTTCCAGCTCTATTCTAATTCTATTCTAAAAATCCATGTGCCTGTAACTGGGCTGGGCCAAAAAAGTAGATGTAGCTGGGGATTTGGGGAGTGAGCCTTCTTTCCTTCTTCCTTCCTTCCTTCCCTCCTTCCTTCCTTCCTTCCTTCCTTCCTTCCTTCCTTCCTTCCTTCCTTCCTTCCTTCCTCTCTCCTTCCCTTATTCTTTCTTTCTTTCTCTTTCTTTCTTCTTTTTCTTCCTTGCTTTCTTTCTTTCCTTCTTCCTTCCTTCCTTTCTCCCTCCCTCCCTCTTCTTTCTTTCTTTCTTTCTTTCTTTTTCTTCCTTGCTTTCTCTTCCTTCCTTCCTCCCTCCCTCTTCTTTCTTTCCTTCTTTCTTTCTTCTTCCTTTCTCTTTCTTTCCTTCTTCCTTCCTTCCTTTCTCCCTCCCTCTTTTTTCTTTCTTTCTTTCTTGCTTTCTTTTTCTTCCTTGCTTTCTCTTCCTTCCTCCCTCCCTCCCTCTTCTTTCTTTCCTTCTTTCTTTCTTCTTTTTCTTCCTTGCTTTCTCTTTCTTTCCTTCTTCCTTCCTTCCTTCCTCCCTCCCTCCATCTTCTTTCTTTCTTTCTTCCTTCTTTTTCTTTTCTTTCTTTTCTTTCTTTCTTCTCTTTCTCTTCCCTCCCTCCCTCCCTCCCTCTCCCCCCCAACTATCCAGACTGAATGAAGTGGGAGCCCAACGCTGCATTGCAGATGCTTCCCCACCACAACGACGCCATCCCAGTGGGGAGCCGCCAAAGGAGATTTATACTCCATCAATTATAAGACGGTGTCACTTTTGCTCAGGGTAAATTGCAGGGACTGGAATATATGGGGGGAAGGAAGGGGAGGGGGGGAGGGGGAGGGGGGGAGGGACACCCACCCTGATGTGACCCATTGGTGCACCACAGGAGGCCAACGTCTGTATTTTCAGTGAGTAAACTGTGGGGCATCTAACTGGAAGTAACCATTGGAGGCCACCCCAATAGAAAATCTATTTCTCAATCTGAACAATTTTAAGACCTCTGGACTTCCACTCCCAGAATTCCCCTGCCAGCCATGCTGGCTGCCCACCACTGGCCTAATGAATCCTTCACCACCACCCTTCAGGGTTTATTCTCAACTTATAACCATCCGTTTAGTGTCCGAGTTACGACGGCACGGGAAAAGGTGACTTATGACCCTTTTTCACACTTAACGACCGTTGCGGCATCCCTCAGGATCACGCGATCAAAATTCGGATGCTCGGCCACTGACTCACATTTATGACGGCTGTGGTGTCCCCAGGGTCACGAGACACCCCCGTTGTGCGACCGTCTGATAAGCAAAGTCAATACGGAAGCCGAGTTCCCTTAACCACCGTATCCCTAACTCAAGTGTTTCCCAAACTTGATAATTTTAAGGCATGAGGACTTCAACTCCCAGAATTCCACAGCCAGCAACGCTGGCTGTGGAATTCTGGGAGTTGAAGTCCACATGCCTTAAAATTGTCAAGTTTGGGAAACACTGCCCTGACTGAACAAGTGCAGGGATTCCCGTAACAATGGTCGTAAAATGGGGCAACACTCCCTTAACCCGTGTCTCGCCGAGCGATGGAAATTTTGGCCATACGCCGAGGACTCCCTGCCTCCCAGCATTTGTTGACCGGGGGGATAATAACAATAAAAGGCAACCTGCGAGCTGATTTAATCAAGTCGGCCAGGCACCAAAGCATTTCTATTTGGTTTTATGAATTTATCTTGACAAGCAGCGGCATAGGGTGGAGGTGAAGGCAGCCCTTGATTTGATCCAGAACCTGAAAGTTGATGGGGAGGGGGCACAGAGAGAGGAAGACCCCCGCCCCCCCCCCCCAGAACTGCTGGCCGTGCCTTGACCACTATGAGTCATCAAGAGCTTAATCCAGCTTCGGCAGTCATTATAGCGAAACAATAAATATTTATAAATGCCTTTCAAAAAAACAAAACAAAAAAACCCACATCAAACGCTGAGGTACTTAACCACTTGAAAAAACGTCAATCGGCAATGACATCGTTCTGCCTGAAGGATTACCTTCTAAATAAACAGACACACCAGGATAAAAATGTACAGGCCCTGGGTTCGATTTACCATCACGGAGGAAATATGGCTGGGCGTTTAACCTTAAGCTAGTCTCTCCGCCTCAAGGGCCTTGTGGGGATAGGGGCATAAAAAAAGCCTTAATCCGGTCGTGAGGGCTATGAAAGGAGTGTTTAAGACGGGCCAGAGGAGAACATACGAATGTTTTTCGACCGCCGAGCCCCCAAAGGACGATTGGAGGCAATTTTTTATTTTTATTTTATTTTTTTACTCGCAAAACGATTTTCAGGAAAAAAAAAAAATGAAAGGATTTATTTTCCGGGCGTGCCAAGGAAGCAGAAACCAAGCCTTTCTGGTGTACAGATAGTCCTCGACTTAATGACCACAATTTTGGTTGCAAGGCGAGAGGTTAAGTGAATTCGGGGATCACGTGATCCCAGGACACTGCGACCATCGTAAATACGAGTCTGTCACCGAGCGTCTAAATTTTGATCATGTGATGCTGGGGACACTGCAACAGTCGTAAGCGTGAAAAGCCATCCCGAGTCTCTTTTTTTCGGTGCTGTGGTAATTTCGAACAGGTCGCTAAACGAACTGTGGTAAGTCAAGGATTTCCCCGCACAGCAGTCATTTTTTTTCAGTGCCCTTGTAAGTTCAAACGGTCACTAAACAAAACCATTGTAATTCGGGGACTCCCTGTAGGTGGGTACGCCTACCACTTTACAAAGCCTTAGTAAAGGCTATCCGGTTTTGGTCACCACGATATAAAAAAGACGTTGAGACTCTAGAAAAAGAGCAGAGACAAGTGACAATGATGATCAGGGGGCTAAAGCATACAAGGAACGGTTGCTGGAACTGGGTATGTCTAGTTTAATGAAGAGAAGGATGAGGGGGACATGATAGCAGAGTTCCAATATTTCAGGGGCTGCCCCAAAGAAGAGGGAGTCAAGCTATTCTCCAAAGCGCCTGAAGG